CCCTTAAGGAATTAGGAACGATAGTAGTTTTAAGTAGGAGAGAATCTTGATCAAATATGTATGTATTGGTGTTTAGAGGCACAGGTGTAGTGTGTATGTGGGTTTAGAATTTGAGGAAGGAGCCAGTAATAAAGCATATCTTTGATAACCAAGGTTGGCTGGGTGTTATAATCACCTGAAGTCCATCTTTTTCCCTCCCACACTTACAGAATTAGAATTTCTGGGGATAGTATTCAAACCACAAGGGAATGCTGTCACTTAAGGAAATCATTTAGAGGTGATGAGAAGACTGCAAAAGAGAGCTGCTTTTGGGGAGGTGGGCCAGGTAGTACTGGGGTTTGAACTCAGGGCCTCGTGGGAATAAAACGCTCTACCTCTTGAGCCATGTCCCTACTCTATAGGTGATCCTTGTTGTTTTCTCTACCAACTGACAATTTGTCAGTATCACTGGAAGGTGTTTGTTATCACATTTGGTATAGCCTTGTTTGTCCTCCTATAAGTTGAATTTTATGTTTTCTAAAATTTGGGTTCGGAAGTAGAAATTGTTTTCTTACGATAGATTGTTCCAGTGGGTTGCTGCAACAAAAAAATAGGGATTTTTTTGATGTTTTTAATGCTTTTAGTTTACACTATGTATGTATTGGAAATGTCTTCTGCTAATCCATTTATCAAAAAAGGACTGTAAATCTGAGTAGGGAAGTAAGTACTACTTGTTGATTTTTATCTATGTAGCATTTCCTCTCTCTAATGGGTTGACTCTAGATAAGCTGTTTAAAGTTTGCATTACTTGCAATAAAGTTAGCTTCTCTCCTTCTTTCTCTCAAGAAGAGGGGAGACTGGATAGTGGTCTTGTGTTCGCTACAAGTTGGTGGGATTATCTGGTTCTCCAAGCTAGAATTCTAAAAGACAGTCTCAGTCTTCTCTCTGCCCTTTACCCCATCTATTTTATCACTTAAGTTCTGCTATCATAACTTTCCATTAGCTATCTTCCCTAGATTCAAAGTCCTTGTATCCTGTAAATATAACAGACTATTAATGGTAGCTTCTTAACTAGACACAGTATCTGCAGCCTTAGTTCTCTGATCCTGATTTTGAGCATTGCTGCCACAGTCCTATCTTCTGCCAGTCCAGTCCTATAACTACTTAAAGCTCTGGCCCTGGGTTCAATCCTAGAATGTGTTTATAGATTTAATAGCTCTGTAAGGTACCCATAACAGGGGCCTATAACCTTTTGAAGAATGTGCTTTTCTTTCATTTCATTTATTTGAGCGGTTTCTCTACGTAGTCCATGTTGGCCTGAATTCTCAGTAGTTCTGCTTGCATCCTTCTGCTTTTGCCTCCCAAGTAAGTCCTGGGAGTCAGTGTTTTGTTTTGTTTTGTTTTAAATCTGACGGAAGTGAGAACATTTACCTCTGAAATGTGCGTAAGTGGTTGTTTACATTTCGAGGGCTTTTGGGGGAGCACCTTGAAGTTCGTGCATGAACTGTATAATTCTGTTGCTCTAAATTAGTAGACTCTCTTATTCCACCTCCACCCTCCAAATGTCTTTTTTGCTTAAAATATTCATCCTTTTATTCTGCTCTTGTATATTTTAAGGTTGTGCTCTGATACCCTTTCTTCTCCAAAGCATTACTGCCTACAAAGAAATTGAAATAGATAAACCACCTCTGCTATTGCAATATTCTTGTTTATACTCTGCGGTACCTTGAGGGTCTCCCTTGCTATCACTTCAGGTTTAGACTTAAATCATTTTGGTTCCCAGCGCAGACTCAGGCTAAAGTAGGTATTCAGTTAATGCTTATTGAATTATTTATGAATAAGCCTATCGTGGTGTACTCCCAGCACTTGGGAAGGCTGTTGCCAGAGGATTGTGAGTTGAGACCAGCCTGGGAAGACTGTGGTTAAATAAATAAATGAGTAAATTTAGGATTTTTTCAAGCTTTAAAGCTCTTCTCTGAGTAAAATATTTACTCTTTCGAAGCCTGTGTCTGGAATAAATAAAAAGATAGTAAGTTATGAGGATTTTTAACTAAATGGACACTTTCCTATATTCTCTCAATTTTGGAAGAATTGATTCTAGGGTCTTACCCAAATTAAAATTAGGCTTTTACTTATGGGCATCCTCACAAATAAGATTCAAGACCAATTCCTTAAAATCTTCTTGTGTAGATACTTTAGTCTAATGTCTAGGCTAAGTTGTGTGAGAGAGAAAAAAAGTTTCTATATTTGAAAAGACCAGTTGTATATTTAGACCTCTTAGTATTTAAAAAAAAAATGTATTAGTTATACCTAATGCCTCCAAAGAGGTACCTAGGGTTTTTAGGAACCTACTTTAAGATTTTTGTTTCTACTAAGAACGTATTTGGTTGCGCAAACAATATTGGCAGTTTATTTTACTGCTATGCGCATATTTAAGCTATTTTACATAAATCCTCACATAGTAATCTCCTTGGAGAGTACACATACTCCTAACTTGGAAACCTTTCATTTTGAAGGGCATACTTAGCAGCTGTTACAAACACACAGCATAGCCCTTTAATAAGCAGTGAAAAAGAAATTGCTGGTGTTGCCTGTAAAAGCAGGGGTCATTAATGTTCTTGTAGAATAGTAGTAAGAAAAATAGTGGTTACATAGTGTTTGGTTTGTATAGCTTGTGTCAAAGTAGAAAGGGTGGATAGGTTTTTGACTCAGTTATGTTTTAAAATTAGGTCATAAGGTGTGATAAAGGCAGTGAATCTTAGACAAATTGGTGGGATCAGCCCAGAAAATGCTGGACACAGTGGTCATATCCTAGAGTGGCTGCTCCATTTAGACATAACCACCTTCTAAACTGTTTTGAACTGCTCCATATTTATACTTTAGACAGTTCTTGACTTGTAAATGCTAATTCATTCCCTCCACAAATGCTGCATAGGTATGTTGCCAAATTTTATTCAGTGTTTAAAAATTTTTGCCTCTTCTTAAATACTCTTACTATGTTATCTACTAGATAGAACTTTGAGCCAAATGAGCATTTTAGGCATTTACTAAAGACTCATGTTCCAAATTTTCTGTAGAGCACATAGCCAAATTAATAAAAATTTCAATAGTCTCAAAAGGAAGACTAAGTAAACAAACACTATGATGCCTTTATAGAAAAATTATGTGGTAATTATAGTCATTTTTTTGAATTGTTTTGGTTATATTAACACAAGTCTTAAATATTTTCATTCCCCTTTACTAAATACATTGAAATTTAACAATATACTGATTTATATATGGAATCAATGTTAAATAAAATAACCTTGGGATGTATGTAGCTCAGTGATGGAGTTTATGCTCCCACATGAGACCTTGGGTTTTGTCCCCCAGTACCACACACACAAAAACCAAAAGCAAAAATTTGTGAGTTTATTACTAACAGGTTTATTTTGATTACTTGATCTTTGTCACCAGTTTTGAAGATGATCCGGTATTCTGATAGAGGAGATAGTTAATTTAGAGCATTGAACATTCTGGTATGATAAGGTAGATGTGTGTGTGTGGGGGGGTTGTTGCTATAGTAGAAGGGCATGATGCACCTGAGGCACTAGGAGTTTGGGGAGGCTGCCAAAGATAACTGAAAATGAAGGGAAATTCTTTCCTTCCCATGCTTCCTTCTATAGTAGTCACATACCCCAGATTCTCAAGGTACTGTTACATATTCCTGTGAAACTGGAATGCTTTGAATTTTAATATTTTGGTTCTTTCAGTTGACTACTTATAACCTAGAAATAGTATAAAAATTCCTAGATTGGTTGAAGTTTAGTTTAAATGGGGTTTTTGTGATGATTTAGGAATCCACCATTCAGAATATTGTTTGCAGTCATGTTTTAACCCATACCCTTTCCTCTCCTCCAAGCATATTAGTCCTTTCAACATATGGCTTGTATGTTTTCATGTTTTTCTCCATTCTTATAAAATTGTAGATTTGTATAGATTATGTGTATACATTTCATTATCTTATAGAAATGTCCTATAAAATGTGAAAACTTTTAACAATTAAAGTCAACATTTTTTTGGTTGCCCATTCTACTTAAAAATGGTGCAGCAGTTTTTCTCTTGGAAAAATGATTACTTCAGTTATTGTTAGGTTATTAATCAGTATGCCAACCACTATTCACAGTAGTAGAAATAGACCTCTGCCTAGAGGAAGCTCACTGGACCTTGTAACTGAAGTCATAAAACTATCAGTTATAACTGATATTCATAATACTGTCTTATCTTTGTAGAAAAAGGCTCAGGGATAGTGTCTTGTCCAAGAACACACAGCTAATAATAACTGGTACAGACAGCAGTCTGAAATTAGATCATACTCTTACTCTTTTATATCACACAATCTTAGTTATTGCTAATAGAAGTTTACAGAAATTAAAGTGTAAAGTGATGCCAACTAGAACTTTAATGAATACTTGTGTGGTTAATACTATATACAGTAGAGACTTTGGAATTCGGGAATTTTATAGTATTTTATGATCCTAAAGAGAGAAGGTTTGGGAAATTATTTATCTGTAGAAGCAAATTTTTTCCTGACTGTCTTAAATTTATCACTTGTTAGATTTAATTAACTTCATTGACCTAAGCTACTTTATTTCAATGTTTGCCAAGATTTAAAATTTAGCTTTTCATAGTGTTAGATAAGGTGATACACCCCTGCATTATAACTTGGATATTTTAAGTTCAATGAGAGGAGACTGCTGCTTTCCTGTCAGAAATAAAGTAGACTAATTTGATTCCTATAAATGAAAGGTTTTTTTCTAAAGAAAATAACTGCTCTTTTCATTTTCATTTTAAGTAATTCTTAATTCATGTCCTTAACTTACATTTGAAAATTACCAGTGAAATCCTGCTGAAAATCAGTACTCAAAAATTTGTATATTTGGTTATTACTTTTTAAAAACTTACGTTGATAATATTTTCCTTGGATTGGGGGCTTAAAATGTAAATAAAATTTAATATTAATGTTTTCCATCCAATTGCAGGAGTCAGAAATACCGTCAGAGGAGGGGTACTGTGACTTTAATAGTAGGCCAAATGAGAACTCTTATTGCTATCAACTTCTTCGACAACTAGATGAACAGAGAAAGAAAGATATTCTTTGTGATGTCAGCATTGTGGTGAGCGGGAAAATCTTTAAAGCTCATAAGAACATCCTGGTTGCAGGCAGCCGTTTCTTTAAGACTTTATATTGCGTTTCAAACAAAGAAAGCCCTAACCAAAACAATACTACCCATTTAGATATTGCTGCAGTTCAAGGTTTTTCAGTCATCTTGGACTTCTTGTATTCTGGTAACCTGGTGCTTACAAGCCAAAATGCCATTGAAGTGATGACAGTTGCCAGCTACCTTCAAATGAGTGAAGTTGTTCAAACTTGCCGAAATTTCATTAAAGATGCCTTAAATATAAGCATTAAATCAGAAGCTCCAGAGTCTGTAGTTGTGGACTATAATAATAGGAAGCCAGTTAATAGAGATGGTCTGTCTTCATCACGGGATCAAAAAATCGCCAGCTTTTGGGCAACACGGAATCTTACCAATTTGGCAAGTAATATAAAAATTGAAAATGATGGTTGTAATATCGACGAGGGCCAAATAGAAAACTACCAAATGAATGACAGTAATTGGGTCCAGGATGGTTCTCCTGAGTTGGCTGAAAATGAATCTCAAGGTCAAACAAAAGTGTTTATTTGGAATAATACGGGCTCCCAGGGAATTCAAGAGACTGGCAAAACAAGGAGGAAAAACCAAACTACAAAGAGATTTATTTATAACATACCACCTAATAATGAAACAAATTTAGAAGATTGCTCAATGATACAGCCACCTGTTTCCTATCCAGAAGAAAATAAGGCCCTAATCATCAAGGAAGAACCAGGTAAATATTATATATACAAAGATATCTTAGTTTTTGTTCTAATTCTAGTTGACTGCAATCTTGAGGTATAGCTTTAAAGTATACTTTTTATAGAAATGTTTTCATTATAAAATCATAATACACACAGTACTACATTTGAATATACAACAGAATGAGAGAGAGATCAAAAAATTTTGTATATTTTGTCTTGAGTTTTACAGGCATTGCATATATAAATACTTTGACTTACTGTGAAGTTATGTCTCTATAAACTCACCATAAGATGAAACTATCATTAAGTCAAAAATGTATTTAATAAACTTAACCTACTGAACAACACAGCTTAGCCTAGTCTGTCTTAAATGTGCTCAGAACACTTAATTAGCTCTGCAAAATCAACTTGCATGAAGCCTATTTTATGTGACGAATATCATGAAATTTACTAAATACTGTACTGAAAACTAAAGAGTGGTGGTTGTTGTATGGGTACACTTTTGTACCATCATAAGTTGACTCGAACATTGTCATCTAGGAGCAAAAAGAAAAAGTTGGAAAAGTTTTTCAAAAAATTTTAATTGAACCAAAGTAAGTCAGGGACCATCTGTACTGTTTAAGAAGTAGACTCCACTGAATGCATAGTTCTTTGACTTTTTACTTAGCCTCTCTGATCGCTACATTGCAAGTGGTAGAAAAGATTGTCTATGGCTGTAATATACAGTCATACTGTCATTTCAGAACTTTTGTGAGACCTCATTAGCATTCTTTTCAATTTAAACATTTTAAGTATTTTATAGGATTTGGCTAATTATGAGATTATTCAGATTTTTTTAGGGCTACTGTTATGTGCTCACCACATATATTACAGAAGCTGGAATATCTTAAGTTTGTCCACTGGCACCATCTAATTTTCATTCTCCTTTGCATTAGAGAGAGCTTTCACTTCAATATATTCCTAAACGAATATATGCTAGGATCTTTACCACATCACATTGGTGGTAGGGATTTTTTAAAAAGTAGTCCGGAGGACCACTGTTAAAGAGAAATTGAAAGACTTGAATTTTTCCTTTACTGAAAGTTTACTCTGGCAATCCCTAACATTTTTTGAAGAAGCAGCTCCGTGGGTTTGTTTCCTATGCATACCTCAGGTTTGTCCACTACTGTCATATATGATTTAATGCCCATTTTGCCTCAAAGCACTGACTTTCAGTGTCTGATTTATATGACATCATCTGAGGATAGAGTACTTTCTATTAAAAAGAATTACTGTTTTTAGCTCCCAGAGGGCAAAAAAAATGCCGTAGAAATCCTGTAAAATGGTTTTTCTGCCTTTTAGGATTAGGAGTAGTATTCACTAGTAGAAGTTTTACTTACATGAAAATTAGTATGTACGAATACTGAATACTATTTACTGCTTCTTTTCTTTGTATTTTATATTAAGTTTTTAGCAACAAAACCTCCCTGGGGCATTTTGTTACATAAAACGTTTAAGGGTAGACCCAGACAGAGCTCTCAAAAGTGAGAGCTACATTGACTTTATGCTGCATGGATTATTCCAGTATGGTGTGAATTCTGTAATGTTTCCAGGTATAGACTTATTCATATAAGCACTTGCAAACACACATAACAAATTTAGAGAATAAGCAGATCTTTTGGGGTGATGGCGCAGAAGGAAGACATAATATTGAACCACAATACATACTTTGAAAAGTAGCAGAACTATTAGCAATCACGTTAGCAAGCATCTTCTCACCATCCTTGTATCCATGTACTAGGGCTATCATAAGTTCATCTTTCATTTCTCTTGCAAAGATGATTTATGTCACAGCACTCAAATATCTGAACTTGGTTAAACTCAAAAATTTGGTTGTGTCAGTAATTTGCTGCATTCCAGCTTTTTACAGATTTTTAGTGAAAGAAAATGGGTTATACCTTGTCAAGTAAAGTAGGGCAACTAGTCAGCCAGGTCAGTATTTTCAGTACCAGGGTTTGAACTCCAGGTTTATACCTTGAGCCCCTCCACCAGCCCTTTTTTTGTGAAGAGTTTTTTTTTTTAAGATAGGGTCTCCTGAACTGTTTGCTAGGGCTCACTTTAATTCAATTTAATTGATCTCTGCCTCCTGAGTAGCTGGGATTATAGCTGTGAGCCACCAGTGCCCGGAGCCAATCTTTTTCTTTTTTGTCGTAACAGAGCTTGAATTCAGGGCCTTATGCCTGCTAGACAGGTGCTCTACCTCTTGAGCCACGCCACTAGCCCTTTTTTTTGTGTATTAGTATTTTCAAGGTTGGGTCTTGAACTATTTCCCTGGGCTGGCTTTTAACCAAGATCATGCTGATCTTTGTCTCCTGAGTGGCTAGGATCACAGGCATGAGCCCCCAGTGCCGGCTCTTTTTTGTTGTTAATTTTGTGTTTTTGAAACAGTGATTCTTAATTTACTCCCTTGTAGGTTTTTGTTTGTTTGTTTTTGGCAGTTACTGGTGTTTCGAACTTGGTTTTGCTCTACCACCAGTGTCACACTTCCAGCTTAGTAGTGGTTCTTAATTTAGTTGTAGGTTGGAAAATCACTTGGTAGCATTATAGACCATGATACTTGTGATCTCTTTACAAGGGATTCCAATTTAATTGGTATGTGATATGGTCTGGATATGGAATTTTTTTTTTTTAAGTTCTGTAGGTTATTCTGTGAGTAAGGTTGAGATCCATTGATAGAGTGAAAAGACTCCAACTTGAGTCAATCATAATAGATTTGAAAATTAGCTGTTACTTACCTGTTATGTGACCATAATCAAATTAAGTTAAACCTTCAGTTTCCTCACCATTTAGCATACAGTGCTTCTTTTATAGGATTATTATAAAAGTTAGATGATAAACAGTAAAAGCAAAAAAAGAACTACCATGGCATCTCAATCTCCCTTAAATTTGGAAAGACTGTAGAGGCTATATCAGTTTTCCAGTGCTAGGTAATTTCTGCCAAATGCTAGATCGATGGTGTTTTATAACTTTGGTGTAGCCTTAGCTTGACTTTTTGCTTGAATACTTACAAAGATACTTACTTTCAGGCAGCCTATTTGTGGGTGGGATGACCATGATTAGGAAGTCATTTTTCGTTAAGTCATAGTTTGCTTCTCCATAACTTCCTAATTCAGCCATTTTTCTGTGGTAATAGGGTTTGAACCCAGGACCTTACATATTCTAGGCAAGTGATCTACCACTTGAGCCACCCCACCCCCTAATTCTGCCATTTTGAGTAGTATTAAAAGACTTAGCTTCTAATTCTGCTAATCTGCCTGATGACCCTTCAAATACTCAAAATTTAAAAAAATTCCTTCCAGGTCCTGTTTTCTAGGCTAAGTGCTATTGCTCCTACTTTGTGAGTACAGAGATTGGCTCTTGACTTTTCCAGGCAAGTTCTGACCAACATAAAACACAGTGGGCTTGTTTACAAGGTTGAGGTCTTTTCCAAGGTCATCTCCCTAGTAAAAGTAGAAGTAGGTTTCATGTTTAGGAACCTAAATATGAAAATCATATAAGTAACCACCAAACTAGTAGATTCCTGTCTTTTGAGACAGTCTTGCTATGTAGCCCACACTGACTTGGAACTTACTGTGTACCAGACTGAAAGCTCAGGATCCAACTGCTGCCTCTGCCTCCCGTGTACTGGGATTAAGGTGGAGTCCTATCTTTTAACTTTAAAACATTAATGAACTACATAATTGGTTATGCTTTAATTTCCATTTATTGAAATACATACTTCTAAATGAATTTAAAGTTCTATTGCAAACATCTGAAAAGTCATAGTGGAAAAATTATTCAGTCCACAAGCAATGCTTGGCATTTGGGATTTGTGAATACCTTGGAGGAACTATGACTTCCTTAGGCCCTTAAGGCTATCGTTTGCAAAGCGTAGCTCTAATAATGTTGTCTTCTATATAATACTGATGCTGGTGTGTAGGGGCCTCATAAAGCTGCCAAAGGCTTTGTTCAGGTGCTTTTTTTTTTTTTTTAATCCTAAAGAAGCTAGCATTTTTGTTAACTCACTACTGAGATTCACTTGATGATACACAGGAGTACTTGAAGTGTAGAACTCAGGAATATTAGAAATTTCTTTCCTGTTTTATTGGGGTGTAGGATTAAAACTATCTGCAGAAACTGAAATCTGGGTAACCAAATAGAGGAGGGAAAAGATGTCATTAACAAGTTCGAAAAATTCAAATCCTTGTCTTGCTCATGTGCAATCGGGAAATTAAATTTTAGCCAAATTAAATTATAGTTGTAGAAAATATAAGTAACGTAGGCCTAAATTGCTTCACAAAGTATATTCATGTAGGTAGTTGTACTTAATCAGAACAAATTATGCGTTATTAAGTTTTGATCTTTTTGTTTTTACTTTTTTGAGATATGGTTCATTGGGACTGGCCTCAAAATCATGATCTATCTGCCTGCCTCAGTCTCCCAGAATACTGGGATTATAGGCATGTCCTACAATGCCCTACCCATTTTTGATCTCTAAATGCTGTGGCCTGATAAGAAACTTGGTTTTCTGAATCTAGATTTTCATCTTTATACCATTCTACCAGCAAGTTTCATACTAGCAAGTAAATAATTATATTCTATGTGTGTTGCATGCATATGTACCTTGCTTTGAACAAATTTTAAAATAAGTTAGAAAAATGCAAGTAAAAATTAGCAAAGAAGTGAGGAGAATCGTGGGTATAAATATAGTTGCCCTAGTTAAGATTTTAATTGATCCTAAGATACTAAGCAACCTTTCTCCAAAGGAAGAAGTGTGCTAGTTCTATAGGATGGTACATCTTTTTTGGTACTGACTTCTGAAAGAAATTTCTAGAGTGGGGTTGTATAGTTAGTATACCAAGTACTGAAATGGACAGTTGTTCAAGCATTTTCTAATAAATACAGCAGTAGGTTAATACATACTGTAATTGGTTTTTGTCTTTGACAAAAGTTGATATAGTTCCATGCAGATGATTGGTTTTCCTTACTGCCACACAAGTATTCAAATGGA